GTTGGCTGCAGCTCTGATCCAGGTACCCCTTATACTAAGACCCATACTAAAAGAGCAATACCAGTCTTCAGACATGTTGATATTATGACAGAGGGACAAGCAATGAGAGATCCAAGCATTGACTCTTAAAGCTTCTGCTCAGGAATGGCCCATGTCATTTTTCCACTCACATTTCATTGGTCAAATTAAATCACATGGTCCATCCTGATTCAGTAGATCAGGAAATATAATCCTCGAGTAGGGGTGGACCCAGGAAGGGGCTGATAAGGAAGAACTGGTTATTTTGAAGAAATAACCCTAACAGAAAACATCACAAGGGTATTTTTGTTTGTTTCTTTATCTAAACATATTGTTGTCAACTTGCAGCTACAATAGTTTTTTCCCCTGGAACTATATCAGTATATCAGTTTACCCTGAACAACAGTGGGGAACCCATTTATTGCTTCTCTAGAGGCAGCTATACCTGCTTGCTTTGGATGTGCATTCATTTATAGGTATAATTATACTTATTTGTATTCACCCATATAAATGTATGTTATACAAGGTGAAGGAAGAAGTCTCAGCGCATAGGAGATGAATATACATAATCAATACTAAAAATGAGAATCACTTTAATTTTGCCAAGACTTAACATAAAGCATAGCGGCTACAATGTTCTAAAAAGGAATGCTTTTCAGCTTTTTAGTAAACATAATTATAAAGTGGCTATTTAAGTAAGAGATTGAAACTGATTTAAATTACCTGAGCTTGATTTTCTTAATCTTTCTAAACATTCAAGAAAAAGGCAACTTATGTGATCATTTACAGGTCTTAAATACCATATATTGACCATTACTCAAGACAAAGTCTGGTAAGCCAGAAAAGAAAACACATGTAACCATCAGCTTATCCTTCTGCTTAATCTAAATTCTCACTTCTAAAATGATTCCCCAAATTCATTCAATTATGTTATTACTTTTTTACAAATGGCATGACAGCTTTGCTAATACTAAGTCAGTCTGGCACTTTCAATGTTTTTCAGTTGAGTATAAATTCTAGATAAAGGTTAAAAAGTGCATTAAACAGATGTTGTACATGTTGGTAAAAAGCCTTATGCACAAAAAAGGGCAAGTGTGAACCTATGTAAAAACAAACAAACAAAAAACAAAAAAAAAAATCCTAAAAACTTTCCTGAATGATTCCAGTGGACTAAAAAATAAAGCTCACTTTACATTTGGCAAGATCTATTGGCACTTGATGAAAGGGATGGTCTCTGAGGCCAAATTCTTTCTGTCAATGAATATAAGAATGAAACCTAAGCCAAAGCAGTAAAATCTGAACCATCGCTTTGGCCAGACTTATAGCATTGAGGTTGTGGCATGAATCTTAAAGGATAGGCAAGAAGCTCACTCACCCATCAGAGTTCTATATCATTAGGGCTACTTCTCTTGGAGAGCGCAACAGAATTATTCCCCAGGGAGGCTCCCGCACCAACTGTTAACAGTAAGAGCTCAACAATAACAATAGCACTGAAATTTCTGGTTATAAAAAATCCAGTGAGCTACCAAGACTCCAGTGAACTTAAAAAAAGTTCCCAGTTTTACAATAAAAAACAAATTAAACTAATAAGATAGGTAGAATTTTTTTTCAAATTGTTTTCATTGAAGTTGTTTCTTCCTAGAATATTATTTTAAGCTCTATCTAACTCTTTACGGCTAACTTAGTTATTCCCAGGCAACTAGTAATTTAATTATTTGTGGTGTTAACATTTGTATCTTACTCTTCCATAGCAGGACTCATGTCTTAGTTGTGTTTCCTTTCCCAATCCTTGCAATGTCCGGCATGGATAAGGTACCAGGTCAAGATTACTGAAAAATATGGTGGATGAATAAAACTATCTCACAACAATCCTGTGAGTTTATTAGGCATCATAGTCATCTCACAAAGAAAGGAAATCAAAGAACAATTCAGCTAAATAATGGCAGTAGAGAGGCCAGACGTGTGTTTTTCTACTTCCTAGAACATTTCACTTCCCCTATTTCATATTGTCTTTGAGGGAATATTCTGTGTACTCAGCAATAATTTCAAGTGCTTTTGTGGTCTGTGGTTTCTCTAGCAGCCAGAATATAGTAGCAACAACAGAAAATCAGGAGGAGGAGAAAAGAAGGAAAGGAAGGGGTCAAGAGAAGTTCTGTTCTCGCTTTTTTCAAAAATTAAAACTGGAGAGATGTAGCAATCCTGAGGACTACAGAGGATGAGTTGGAGCAGAGGGAGCTATTGAGGAGGTAAAAGAGAAAGTTATCTGAGGAAAGGTGGAAAGAATGCGTGTAAATATTATAGCAAGTAGATGTGGTAGCAGGGATGTATGAAGTTCTTTCCTCTCTGCTTTAATTTTTTGCAGTGAAATCAACAGCAAGGTCATCAGTTAAGGGAGGGGATAGAAGAGCTGATATGGTAAGTTTGAGAAGAAAAGGTATAAAATTGTCATCTAAGTACTTGAGAGTGAATGGGCTGGAGAAATACATAATGATTGCTAGGCAACACTAAATATTCATTACATGTTGGGGGCCATAAATATAAAGTGAATCACATCACCATGGGACGTGTTTCTCTCCAGGTTCCTTCACTGCTGGTATGGAACAGGTGGAGGGTTGGATGTAACCAGGCCTGTGATTTTATCAAATGAAATGAGAGGGGAGCAAGAGTAAAGGGTATACACAAAGGTCAAACTGCATTCAGTAACCACAGGAATTCAGCAGGTTGTGGGGGCAGGGGCGGGATGGAGAAAGAATATGCAGAGTTTGACAAGGGTCAGTAAAAGGCTGTGGGATCAATATTTAGATCCCATTTAAATGGGAAAAAATGGGATCCGTATTTAAATCAGAATTTAGAAATCCTAATAGAACCACTGGTAGAGTTGGAACAAAAGAAAAGAGCACTGAAAAGCCAGGATGGAATCAGCAAGATTGGGGTGCCTGGAAGTGAGTCTATCGAGAAGCTGCAGAGTCTGATGATGCCCAGATTGAGGGTAGGACCATAAGCCTAAGTAACTCAGAAGGGATTAGAAGACAAGATCATTGGAAGAAAGGCCAGGTATGCTAATCATTCTCTCATCACGGGTCTACCTGTATACTCTCACCTAGATTCTTCCAATCACAGTAATCAATTTATAGCTTACTATTCATAAATGAATATCATCCTTCTTCCAGGAAATCTCAAGTTTGCATTAGAGAAATTTTTACTATTTTTTATTATCATTTTAAACAACAGAAATGACACAATCAGGTAAGACTCATTTCACCATTTGTTTGCTGTTTTCATTCTTTTATTATATTCCTATCTAAATCACAGACTCAAACCTATGATTCTATGTAAATAATTAATAAAAATGCAAAATAATATTGTACCTCCTAATAAATCCATTAAATTATTTTATTTAAAGTCTAGTTTATATTTCACTTCCAAGTGTTAGATTTAAAAACCTCAGAACATTAAATGGAAATATTAACTGAAAATATGAAGAAATGATCAAATGGTGGACAGAATAAGAAACTGGAGAAAAAAAATCAAATATGGATTATATATTTACTCAGAGGCACTCAGTGATATATGAATTTCAAAGGAACAATGTTCCTTTGTGAAATTCCCATAAAAATTAGAATTCAAACTGTACTAAACGCATTTTGTCCTAAATACATGAGCTCTAGTATTTCACAGTCATATTGATACATAATTGAAGACATTCATGAATAAAGAAATGTATGAAGTATATGAATCTTCATGCCACACCAAGTTTTAAAAATATCCAGTCTCAATACAGATATACAACATCATTCTGATTATGAGACTATCTGGAGCTATGGGAAAGCAAAAACTTCCCCAACTACTTGAAAAATCTGCAAATACCATCCTGATACCTATGTCTTGGCATTACCTTTTCTACCTTTACCCAGCAGTGGTCCATTGTCATCTTCACACAAAACTTCTGATGCCTGATGATGCCATTGATAATTCTAAAAGGACCCCTCGTGATGTTGTGCTGTCAATGTGGCCAATATCTACTGGTGGATATTGCAGTCATGGCTGATGCTTGCCTAAGTGTTCAAGTCCACCAAAGTGGAGAAGCTCTTTAAGCCCCAAATTTGTGATATGGTTATTTTCATGAGCTTCAGGAAAATACTCTGGATCTTTGGAATACAATAGCAATTTTTTTAAATTAAGTAGTTCTTTTAGTTTTTTTCTTCAGAATATACAAGGGCTGACCAGAAATGTATTGGAATAACAGATGTACCTCTACTTCTATGAATTCTTACTCTTTGTCGCCTTAGGAGCATATATTTTGCTAAGAGCTTTCTTAGTTGCTCATACATACAGACCTATATAATAGAATTACACAAAAGGCCTTCCATATATACCTTCATTTATCTGGGTCCTAGAAAAAAAACCACATTGGACTAACACAGAGAAGTTTGTTTTATATACTTAAAACTCTGACAAATTGTGTCTGGGATATATTTTTTTTCTGAAATTATTTATATGTAATGAAATATTTCCATAATTAGATTTTTTTCCTAAATACACATTTGGAGCCATCATGTAGGAATGTTCTAAATAGTACTGAATTGAAAAGAAAGAGGGTTGGATTGGCCATGGAACATTTGCATTGACATCTGATCCTTAACATTTTTTTCAATCTCCAAATATATTCAAAGGCTGTCTTATTAACAATAGAAAGTTTTCCAGATTTTCTCTAATTATATTGAACTTGACTGAGGGCAATAATGACTTAAAGATCTCAACCTCCAAAAGCACTACCATTCTTTACAAAACACTTCACAGCACAACAAAGAGATCACCCTGAGCAAAGTAGCCAAATATCTAAGAATCTCTGAAGCATGAGATGTACACAGTCCATTTATGCTTAAGATAAAAGAGTAGAGCACAAATATGACTTAATACAAAGACATGGAAAGATTGCAAAAATTCTGAGGTTTGACCTACCCATCAATCAAGTCACTTACCAGATATCTCCTCTAGGCACTGCTTAGCAGTTTTATTATATGATAAATCCATCTTAGTAGGACTGGTACAGGACTCAGCAGATGGTAAAGAGGTGCCTTCATTTTCTGAATGTGATCTGAAATTAACCAAAAAGACAGAAACAAATAGCAATTGTGGTCACAGTGACTCAAAGTTCTCTAGTACCAGCAGAAATCAACATGTTAAAAGTTTTCTATTAAGGTAAGTAAGCATTTCCTTATGACAGAGACATTTCAAAACTATCTGTAAGAGAAGTCCTTATTTTTCATATACAACCTGAGTAGGAGTGAGATATTAAATTAGATTTCTTAGACTTTTCTGAATTTTGAGAGCTTGTAATTACCAATAGTTGTATTTTGCAGGAAGCAAAAGACTTGAAAAGATCTTTTTTCCTGCTATTTTAGGCAAAGTCTGGCTAAGTTGTGTTCTTGTGAGAATAACTAATAAAAGTACTGAAAGCACCCCTAAAATTATTTTTTCCATGAAAATTCTAGAAAATATATCCTAAAATTGGAAATACAAGTAAAATTAAATTTCAGAAAAAATAAAGTCAATCAAAACCAAATTCTCATTATTAAAATTTCATCTACTTTATGTTTTATATGTTTATGTGTGTGTATGTGCATTGGTATGTATTTGTGCATGTGATTAACATGTAGAGAGTAGGTCTAACCAAATGAAAAGCACAAAACAGATGGACTACATATATTTTGATATTCTACTCTTCATGCATTGCTTCTTCCTCTTATGCACAGGCAAATGTTTTAAGAGGCATGATCTTTCTTGATGCAGCTTCAAAATCTACATATATTTGATCCAAATCACCACATCTTAAAAAAATCTACAGCATGAACTACTAAGACACAGATGGAGGCAAAGCAATATAGCATTGTATGCTAGACTGTGTCCTTTGGAGATTTTGCATCTGCTTGGAGTCCCATTTGTATGACTGGGTTTGGGCCATGGCAAGAGGTCGCTAAATATTTCTTACTTTTAAAGACATCTATAGAGAATATTTATATGTGAAAGAAAAATTCAGTATTATTTTCGGAATCAATTTTTAATTAATACGTTACTTTTATTCTAAATCCTGGTGTTGTTCGAGAGAAAATGAAGTATAATCACTGACACCAAAAATATTTTATATTGATCTGACAGATATAGAAACTCTGAGCCCATTAGGGTTTTAAGAAATCATGGAAAACTTTATGCTATATGTATGGATGTATGTGTATATACAGGAATTGATATAGAAAAGAAAAAGCTATGTAAGAATTAATACAAATGGTTTCTGTTGATTTCTGGCAGACTGTCCTTATTTTATTCTAACTCGAAACTAAATATAAAAAGCATGGGAAAATTAAGAAAGAGGATATACTATCCAAGTGACAAGACATACCCTAAAGGCCAGTAAAGACCCCAATGTTGTTAAAATCAACACATTTTAGTCTTCACCTTCCCTGATGCTTTGGCAGCATTTAGAACAGAAGACCATTATCCTTTTCATGAAATTGTCCTACCCTGGCTTCCATGACAAAAATTTTCCAGTTTGTTCCCCATTCTCTGTGGATGCTACTTTTCCCCTCTTTGTTCTCTTTTGAACAATCATTAAATGTTGTGGTTCTGGATGGTCAAAAGAAGAAGACACAGAGGGCAAAAATTGTTACAAAGATATCTCAAACCCACCATGTACAGAATTAACCTTGTGATCTTTTCTCAATAAGCCTGTTCCTCGTTTGTGGTGTCCTGGCTGAAAGCTTTAGGGAACCTATGAGGCTTTGCATGGTCTGATCTCCGGCTGCTTCTCCAGGATCATCTTGCACAGGACACCTCTTATCTCTCTCTCTCCCCTGTGGTCACAAGAGTCTTCTACTCACTTCTCAGAGTTCCCTGCCTTAACAGGGCCTTTACACTCCATTATTTTCCTTCCCTCTTCATCCAACTAAGTCTCTCCCTTTAAGTCTCAGTTCAAGTAACTCTTCAAGAACCATCCCCAATTTTCAGGTAAAGTCCCAAATTATAAGTCCTTATTGCTCTCTGTATATATATCTTATAATGCAAAATCTGTATAATTATTTGATCAATGCTTATCTCCCAAACTAGACTCCATTGTCCAGGTTTAAGCTTACCATTGCACCCCAATGCCTAGCCCTAGTCTCGCAATATGTTGCATTCAGCAAATACTTGATAAATAAAAAAATCTTACTATTAGTGATGATAAAATAGCATTATTGGAGTACAGCATATGGAAGGAAGCATGGTATAATGGTGCATGCACTGGGTTTCTGTGTAAAACTTGGCTCTCTAACTAACTAGTTATTAACCGATGTGACCTTGCTAAGTTACTTAGCCTTCCTGAACCTCAATCTGCTCAGGTATGAAAGCAAAGAAAAATATGTGCCTTGCAAAATAATTGTGAACTCAGGCGTTATTATTACTAAAGGTCTGGAAAGGCATTCTCTGGAGGCATGTAGGATTCTGGTCAACATTAAAATGTGGAGAATATATCTGACTCTCTGTGTAGCCCATTTCTTTTCTTTGGCTCCCAGGTTCTCCTATATATGTCTATTGACAGCCCCTCACTACTCACTGCTGAAGCCCATGACAGTTGGTTCTTCTCCTTGGGCTCACTTCTTGCTGGCCACTGTACTTCCCTGACCTGCTCCTTAGACAGCTGTCTCTGAATGAAGGGATAAAATCCTCTGAAGTTTTCTAAGGCTTTTTGTTACTTGCTGAAGAAGTTTAACTGGAGAGTATGTAGTGAGATTGGAGACCCCAGGGAAAGCTGACTGGCTGCTTGCCAGGAAGCCTCAGAAAGGCAGGGTGCCTTGGTAAACTGGCGGTGAGCCAGGATTGGCCTCTAGTCCTGCAGACTCAGTATTCACAGACCGATCTCTCAGAAGCTGAGTCACATTAAGTAGTTCACCGTGATGGCTGTCTAAAGCCCAGTGTCCACTGGTTCTTATTAGAATGAGATCAGCAGCTGTTACAGGAGCCTGAATGCCTGTGGTCATGTTAGTGACAAAGATTCACAGTATCTCCCTCTAAAAACATCTGAAGGGAGCCAAAGCATATTCAGAATGTGTTTTGAGAGTAGAAATTTTGCTTTGCTCTGAACAAACAGATCTTAAAAAGTATTGTTCAGGAGCTGACTGTGGCTATCTTCCTCAGTATATGAGACCTGGTACTCAACGTACCAGGTTGAGTGAGCCGTCCCCACACCCCCTGTCTGAGACTCTGCCATAAAATGTATGCACGCTTCTGACAGCTCAGTCTTGTCTCAGAAGCCTTTGTTTTATTTTGTTTTTTAATCTGTCAGTGTGTATTTCTGGCTGAGTCCCTCTTTATTATCTTTTTACTTTCAGTCACAAGAGGCAATCTTATTTACCTTATTTTCAAGTTCTTTGGTATATTTTCCATGGTATTTCCTACATTAGCAATGATAGGGAAGCCGATTGATCAAGGAAAGGAACATGGAAAGGTTAATTTTTTTAAATACTTATAAAAAGGACTGAGAAGTCATCTTTGGTTGCATGTACATGCAAATGGGTCCAGATCTCTGTTCTACATATGTTACGAATCATCCATTTCTCCAGGATTTCCACTCATAATTTGTTAGAGTGGAATCAGATTTTAACTCCAGTCTCCAGAGGGGCAATCGCTGCTAACTGGTAAAGATTTAACTTTTATACAAATGATCAAAGAAGTTCAGTTAAGTCTCTGAAGACTCCCAACATGTCCTCTCTTTTTGTACATGTTTCATTCTAATAAAATAAAAGGTTTCATGAAACAATTTCTGAACAGTCCAGAATCAATAGTGTTCTCCAATCAAAGGGTACAGTTTGACAGATACAGCGGATACTCAAGTGGCATCATCAACTGTTCCCACATAAACTGACACTGCATTTTCCTCATACCGATTGGAAAAAGAAAAAGTGTCATGATGTTCCTTTAAAATATTTAGAAGACATGCCCTGTGCAGACTAATTACTTTGCATTTGCAAAACACTCGACATGTTACAAATACCTATTGAAACTGTGAAATGTAGCATTGCAAAAAACACCATTTAATTTACTTAGAGTGCTAATAAGCCAGGCTCTCAGTGTTAGTATCTGTTACCAAGGGGGTAGTGGTGAAAAGTCTAGCCTTCACCGATGATTGACATAAAAGCTCTTTCCTGTTTATGCGCACTTACTATGTGCCAACTACTAGGCCTGGTATTTTATCTATGGCATATCACTTACATGTCACAACAATCCTGTTGTTATGGAATGGATGTCTGTTTCCTCCCCCAAATTCTTATGTCGAAAACTAATCTCCTATATGATAGTATTAGGAAGTGGAGCCTTTGTAGGCTAACTGGGTCTTGAGGGTGGAGTACTGATGCCTGGGGTTAGGGTTGTTAACAAAAGAGACCTCAGAGAACTCCCTTGCCCCTTCTGCCCTGTGAGGGCAGAGTGAGAAGGTGGTCACCTATGAACCAGGAAGCAGGCTCTCACCAGACATGGAAAGGAGCAGCACTTTGATCTTAGACTTCCTGGCCTGCACAGCCATGAGAAATAAATATTTGCTGTTTAAGCCGCTTAGTCTATGGTATTTTTGTTATAGCAGCCTGAACAGATCAAGACACCTATAATGTAGGTGCTATAGATAAATTTAGGCTTCTAGAGGTTTAATAATTTGTCTATGTAACAAGCTGGTAGACGATTATTCCATATTTGAAACTGGTTGCCTCTAAATACTGTTCTATTAACCACTACCCTCCAGTTTAACGCCATCCAAATGCCCCTGGATACTATTTTAGGCATTTATGGTCTCCTTAGCTGACAGACAGCTCAGTCACTAAGTTAATGACACACAATATTTGAATGTGACAGTATCTATTGGCCTACCCAAAATTTTATTCTTTATTCTTCACTACCTTACGTTTTTACTCTTAAGAAAAAGAAGCTATTATACATAGCACTTAAAGGAATTCAACAATAAGTCCTAGATACTATCAACCTGCAAATTTCAAATTTCACAAATATGAGAGAGGGAACACAAGCAGGGGGAGTGGGAGAGGGAGAATCAGGTTTCCCGCGGAGCAGGGAGCC